GGTCAGAACACTGTTCATCACCAGAGTCATGTGGTCCTGGACAGGAGAGCACAGCTATTAAGAATTCCATCATGCTGTTTTTCTATGGAGGCATGGGGTCAGAAGTGAAGGTAGTAGGCTGTTTTGGCTTTCAAAATGTCTTTGGCCCGATGCATGTATTATAGGTAGTTATGTTATGTCAGAATTGGAGAGATGATAGTTCTAACATGGCAAATTCACAGTCTTGAATAAACTCCAATGGTCAGCTAGGGCCCCAGCAAGATAAAGGCATCCATTTGGTGAAAAAATAATGACAGATTCTGAATTCACACCATTGAAAAAACTAAATTTAGTATTTACTTACAGAACTAAATGTAAAAAAAATCCATAAATATAGGGATGGCATTCAATTCTATTAGAATTAAAAACATCTTGCTCAAGACTGAAGCAGAGTTAAAAGATAAACAATAGATTGGGAGAAAAATATTTATACATATTCTATAGACAAAAAGGAGTAATAGTAAGAATATATAACTCCATAAAAGGACAAAAACACAAGAAAAATAGGTAAAGTATATAAACAGATAATTCAAGGAAGAGACAAGAAATTGGCCAATAAACATTTTAATAGATGTTCAATCTTACTGTGACTAGGAAATACAAAGCAAAACAATGACAATATGGTTTTTTTTGTCTACCAGTGTAACAAAAATTAAAAGTTTTAAAATATCAAGTATCGACAGAGAGATAGTGTAATGAATACTCTTACAATGTTAATGTGATGGAAATTGCCCACTTTAAGAACAACGTAGCACAATTTAATAATAACAGCAAAAATGTATACCATATTATATAGGAAATCTCTTTTTATCTACCCTAGGGGAAGCAGTATGCATATGCCCAAGGAGGCACATAAAATGAAATTTATTGCATCATTGTGATAATAGCAAAACTGAAAAGAATCTCAATTGTTGTTAGTAGGAGTATGGCTCAATAATCTATGGTAAAATCATTATAAGGAAATACTAAGAACAATTGTATGACAACAAATTAGATGACTTAGATGATATGTATTTCTGGAAAGACACAAACTAAAGTGATTCAAGAAGAACAAGTAAATATGACTGCAACTATAAGTAAAAAGTTTTAATTAGTGATTAACATATTTTATGTCATGAAATGCTTAGGCCAGGTGGCTTCACTGGTGAATTCTATCAAATATTTAAATATTTAAATAAGAACTAATACCAGCCTTTCATAGACTCTTCCAAAAAATAGAAGAGGCTTCACATTTCTCAACTTATTCTACATAACTAGTATTACTCTGATACCCAAATCAGAAAACAATATCAAAAGAAAATCTATAGAACAATATCTATTATTAATATGAACACAAAAATCCTTAAGAAAATGCTAGCAAATTGAATCCAGCAACATAAAAAAAATTATGCACCATAAATATGTGGGATTTATCTCAGGAATGTAAGGTTGGTTTAAAATACAAGTATCAGACATGGTGGCTCATGCCTGTAATCCCAGCACTTTGGGAGGCTGAGAGGATTGCTTGAGGCCAGGAGTTTGAGACCAGCCTGGGCAACACAGTGACACCCTGTCTCTAAAGAAAACAAAATACAAGTATCAATTAATATAATACATAATATTAATTGAATAAAGGAGAAAAAACCCACATGATCAGCTCACTAGACTGAGTAAATGCATTTAACAAAATCCAATATCTTTCATGATGAAATACTCCAAAAATTAGGAATGGAGGGAAACTTCCTTAAACTAATAAAAGCTGTCTACAAAAACCCATAGCTAACATAATACTTAATGGTGAAAGACTGAATTATTTTTCCCTAAGATCCATAAGCTAGACCGCTCCCATTCATCTTTGTAGTGGAGTTTCTAGCCAGGGAAATTACATAGGAAAAGGAAACAAAAGTGTCCAGATTCAAAAGGAAGAAATAAAACTTCCTCTATTCACAGGTGATGTGATCGTATATATAAAAAGTCCTAAGAGATCCACTAACACCTATTAGAAGTAATAAATGAATTCATCAAGGCTGCAATATATAAATCTGAAAAGAAAAATCAATTGCATTTGTATACACTAGCTGTTATAGGTTGTATTGTATCCCACCAAAAGATATGTTGAAGTGATAACACCCTACTACCTCAGAGTGACCCTATTTAGAAATAGGGTCATTACAGACGTAATTAGTTAAGATGAGGTCATACTGAAGTAGGATGGGCCATCAATCTAACATGACAGGTGTACGAATTGGAGAAGACAGATGCACACGGAGGGAAGACTGCCATGTGAAGGTGGAGGCAGGATTGAGTTATGTTGCCACAATCCGAAGAATGCCAGGGAGTTCCAGAAGCTGGAAGAGGCAAGGAAAATTCATTCCTTCCTTAGATGTTTCAGAGGGAGATGGCCCTGCCAATACCTTAATTTTGGATTTCAAGTCTCCAGGCTGTGAGAGAATACATTTTTGTTGTCTTAAATCACCCAGATTGTGGTACTTTGTTACTTCAGCTTTAGGAAAGTAGCACACTAGCAAGGAACATTGCAAAAGCAAAATAAAACGATTCCATTTATAATAGAACCAGAGAGAATGTGAATGAATTTAACAAAAGAAGTACAGGACTTGTGCACTGAAACTACAAAACGTCATTAAGAGAACTTAAAGAAAAGCTAAATAAATATCCTACCTTCATGAACTGTTAGACTTAATAATCTTAAAATAGCAATACTTCCCAAATTGTCCTACAGAGTCAATGTAATCTCTATAAAAATCCCAGCTGCTATTTTGCATGAATTAACAAGCTGATTCTAAAATTCATGTGGAAATGCAAGGAACCCAGAATAGCCAAATCAATCTTAAGAAGAGGAACAAAGTTAAAAGATTTAACTTAACTGATTTTAACTTAACAGATTTTAAAACTTAATACAAAGCTACAGTAATCAAGGAAATGTGGTACTGGCATAAGGATAAACATATGGAGCAACGGAATAGAATTGAATGTCTGGAAATAAATCCTTACATTTATGGTCAATTGATTTTCAAGATAATACAATTCAATGGAGGGAAAGAGTAGTCTTTAATAAATGGTACTTGGACAACTGGTTATCTATATGCAAAAGAATGAAGTTGAATCATCTCATTATGCCATGTGCTAAAATTAACTCAAAATTATCAAAGACCTAAATTTAAGAGCTAAAACTATAGACATCTTAGATGAAGTATAGGACTAAATATTTGTGGCCTTGGGTTAGGCAATGATTTCTCAGATATGACACCAAAAGCACAACCATAAAATAAAAAAATAGATAATTGAACTTTATCAAAATTAAAAACTTGTGTGCTGCAAATAATATCATCAAGAACATGAAAAAACAATTCATGGAATGTAAAAAATATTCACAAATTATATATCTCATAAGGTACTTATGTATCCAGAGCATATAAAGAACTCTTACCCCGTAATAATAAAAGATAAATAACCCAATTAAAAATGGGCATAGGATCTGAATAGAAATTTTCCCAAAGAACATATGCAAATGTTCAATAAGAACATGAAAGATATTTAGCATCGTTGGTCATTAGGGAATTGCAAATCAAAACTACAATGAGATGCTACTTCACACTCACTAGGATGACTGTAGACAACGACAATAACAATTTTTGGCAAGGATGTAGAGAAATTGAGACCCTCATACATTGCTGGTGGGAATTTAAATGGTGTATCTGCTTTGGCAAAACAGTTTGTCAGTTCCTCAAAATTTTAAATATAGAATTAACACATGACCCAGAAATTCCGTTTCCAGGTTTATACTTGAGATAAATGAAAACATAGGTCGACATAAAAACTTGCCCGTGAACGTTCATACTAGTAGTATTCATAATAGCCAAAAGGTGGAAACAACCGAAATGTGCATAAAGTAATGAATAGATAAATAATGTGTGTATCAATATAGTGGAATGTTATGTGGCAATAGAAAGGAGCAAAGTAATGATACATGCTACAACAGTGATGAACCTTGAAATCATTATGCTAAGTGTAAGAAGCCAGTCTCAAAAGACCACATATTGTATGCTTCTCTTTATAAGAAATATTCAGAATAGACAAACCTATAGAGACAAAGTAGACTGCTGACTTACAGGACTGGGCCATGCAAGGAGGAATGAGGATAACTACTAACGGATGTGGGGTTTCTTTTGGGGGTAACTAAAATGTCCTAAAATTAGAGGGTGATGATGGTTGCTCGACTTAGTATATTAAAAGACATTGAATTGTACACTTAAAAAATTAACAGATTTTATGTTGTATTAATTATATCTTAATAAAGCTATTTAAATTCTGACTTAATAAACACAACTCTTTTGTAAAAAAAAAAAAAAAAAAACCTATGGCTTGTTCATTCTATGCATGTCAGCAAACTGAAGCCCACGAGTCAGATCTGGCCTGCAGCCATACCCATTCCTTTACCTATCATCTGTGGCTGCTTTTGCAGAGTTTGGTAGTGACAGAGACTACTGGGCCTGTAGAATCTAAAATATTTAATGTCTAGCTATTTACAAAGAAAGTTTGCCAACTGCCGCTATGAAATAATAAGTAACATTTAAGAGGACTGAGAAACACCTATGCGTAGTGACATAAGGAGATCCGAGACATTATGTTAAGGGAAAACAAGTTGAGAACAACATATACAATAGTGACGTCATTTATGTGAAAAAGAAAACAAAACAGAAATCTAATCTGCCAACAAAAATTATAGAATTAAGTAGGTACATGCAGTATTGTGTTAATGCTTGCAACAGGTTCTGGAAAGGTAGCAGTAATCCAACAATATCTCTGGGGGGAGCATTAAATTTTTGGAGTGGTAGTCAAAGTGTACTCTAACCTTCATTTGTGCTATTTTAAACTTTTTACAAAGAAAATGTATGTGTGTTACATAAATAAAAAATAAATGTAAAATTATACATAATAGATATTTTTGGTTTGTTTTTCAGAGCTATGAATGATCGAAGTTTGTTAGAGGCTGTAAGTATAGCATTCTCAATTTGAAATTACACTTTGCCCTTGAGTCTTAATAGACTCTACAAATTCTTAGAATACATAAAAATAAAGATCTCCTGCTTATGTGGTTTATTCAAGAGATTTCTATGTATGTGAGCCGGAAAGCTTTGTCTATTCTTTTTTAAAAAATTTATTTCAATAGATTTAAGGGGTACAAGTGGTTTTTTGTTACGTGGATGAATGGTGTAGTGGTAGAGTCAGGGCTTTCAGTGCACCCATCGCCTGAATAGTGTGCATTTTACCCAATAGGTTATTTTTCATCCCTCATCCGCCTCTCACCCTCCCACTTTCTGAGTCTCTAATGTCCATTATGCCACTCCGTGTGACCATATATACCCAATCGCTTAGCTCCCACTTTTAAGTGAGAACATGTGGGTATTTATTTTTCTGTTCCTGAGATATTTCACTTAGGATAATGGCCAATTCTTTTAATTTTACTTGACCTTATTTTCACTCAGAAATACTTAACTTCTGAAGTATTAAACTCTAATATTCTGCAGTCTTCTGAATGGTTTCAGTCATTTTCACTTCTAGTTCCTTTACCTCTTTTAGCCGCAATTATAGCCTTACTATACACATTAACACCAATGGTTCATTATCTTCATGAGTTAATGAAGACTTTCTTACCTTAAAAATTAAGTATCCAAATAACCTTTTCATTTTAAGATGTTTGCTTTTCATTATTACTAAAATTATAATATTTATTTTTAGAAATACAAACAGATGCAAAGTGATTTTGAAGTATTATCAGAGGAGAAACTGATGCTAGAAATTGAACTACAAAAGTTGAAGGATATAGAGGTGGGTAAAATTTTAGTGTCTAAAGATATCATACAGTACCTAACAAGGTTATTATTTTAGGAGAGGAATCAAGGAGATATTTGAATGTTTTATAATAGGTTTTTAATATTAATGATTTGTAGCAGCTGTGCTTTAAAAAAATAAAATAATGTTGTATTACCATATTAGCTATCAAAAGCAAAAAGATGCTATGATAAAATAGACATAAAATTTAAGCATCCCAAAGAAATTTTTAGGCCAAATATTTAACTACATTGAATTATCAGTAAATTAAAGTTTTCAAATATATTTTCAATGCGTTTTGTGGTATCATGTGCAACTATGTACTATGTGTGTCCCAGCTTGTTATACCAAGAAGAGTAAATAGAAATGCCAAGAATAGAGGAAGATTTGTTTCCTTTTGCATTTTCTCTTTCTCCTTGCCATTTTTTGGACAGCTTATAAATTCATGCTATAGACAACAAAGTCAAATAGATTAGAAGTGAATTTTTTATTAACCACTTATAAACATAAGATTTGTGGCTGAAGGAAAATGCCCTTGAATCCACTAATGTTAGTTACTTGATATTTCTTCCTTACTAGAGAAGGAAGCAGAAATATTAATAGTACCAGGCAATTTGCCATTTAATCAGAAAATCAGTGATCTCACACAGGTGTCAAATCTAGGATCAGGGCTGTCACATACGTTCAGTTTAGGAATAGTAACTTTTAGGTATCATTTCAAGTAGGAATAGAATATCAGTACATATGCTAAAAATAGTAATCTGTGAATAGTAAAATAATGAATTGAGTAGTCTAAGTGTGAATTTTGCAACATTTTAATCATGTACTATTAGAGCCACATTGAATAAACTTTAGCTTCTTAGATGTCTTGAAGATGTTGTAGCAGTTTCTGGTTTTGCTTTCTTGTTTTATTTCTTTAGGTGTTCTGCATCTAATTTTGCTCTAGAAAGCAATAGTTTTTCATGGGCTTGTTCAATATATAGTATAGGATGCAACATGGTTTTCCTATTCAATCCATAGAAACTTTGGTGCTCATTTGATACATTATACCTCTTATCCATTCTTGTCTCAGCCTCAGCACATCATTCCCACTTCACTACTCATTTAAGCTTTTAATTTTCTAAAATATATTAAAGTCCAATGCACATATTTCTAATGCTTTACATATTTGAAATGTCATCAATGAATTACGACCTTACCTTCTCTCATTGGAAATTACTTAAGTGTAGCACTTCTGATCACTGTGTGGAAGTGTGAGGGAGAAATTTGGAAGGAGCGCTACTACATATATAGTGGTCATGTCATATTCACGTGAGGGTAGCGGCCGAGAGATGGAGAGGTAGTCTTTTTTTAGAGAAGGAAATTTAACATGGGAGTGGGTGGAATAGGATGGTGGGAAGAGAATAACCAAACTCAGGATTTCTAATAACAAAGTTATCATTTTTCTTCCAAAGGAAGCTTTCTTTCCTAACATACTTTATCTCAATAATGTAATTTTTATAGACAACTAAGCTTAATAATCAAAAGCCACATTTGATTCTTACTCCTATCTGCCAAATATTAATCAGTATTTTCCTGTGAATTAGTTAAGTTTCTTATTTTCTTTTGTGTAAGCAGGAGAAACTGACTCTGGCTATCTAAAGCAATGAATTTATTGGATAGGTATTAGGTTAATTAAAAAAATTGAAAGAAAAGTTGAACAACATGTTTGGTGAGGGGTAGAACCAGAGCAACTCTAGGAGTCAAAATAACAGGAGTTCATGAGTAGCCAGTACTTCTGCTCTTTCAGGGGATTTTTAGAGAGGGAATTTATGGCTGTTTTTTCCACCCTATGGGATATTGGATCTGGAATTACTCAGCTCCACCTGTTTTCCTTTCATAATAGTCAATTCTTAGAAGATGGGATCTTGCCTGGTTTGGGGCAAGTGTCACTGGGACAAATGGAAATGAGGGAGGTACTGAATCTTTCTAAAATGTGATGCTATTTCTTAACAAAAGGGAAAAAGGATACTGGCACACGTATCTGTTGGTGCAGAAGGCATTAATTCATTCATCCTTTTTATAGCTGAGTAGTACTCCATGGTATACACATACCACATTTTGTTAATCCACTCATGAATCAGTGGGCACTTGTGTTGATTCCACATCTTTGCAATTGTGAATTGTGGTGCAGTAAACATTTGAGTGCAGGTGTCTTTCTGATAAAATGACTTCTTTTCCTTTGGGTAGACCCAGTAATGGGATTGTTGGGTTGAATAGTAATTTATTTCTTTGAGGAATCTCCATGCTGTTTTCCATAGAGGTTGTACTAATTTGCAGTCCCACCAACAGTGTATAAATGTTATTTTTTCTGTCCACTCACATCAGCATCTATTGTTTTTGAACTTTTTAATAAAAGACATTCTAACAGGGGTAATATCTCATTGTGGTTTTCATTTACATTTCCCCGATGATTAGTGACGTTGAGCATATTTTCATATATTTATTGGCCATTTGTCTATTTTCTTTTGAGCAGCTCTGTTTAAGTCTTTTGCCCACTTTTTAATGGAGTTGTTTGTTTTTTTTTCTTGCTGATTTGTTTGAGCTCTTTGTAGACTCTGGATAGTAGCCCTTTATTGGATGTATAGCTTACAAATATTTTCTCCCATTTTTTAGGTTGTTTTTTTGCTCTGTTGATTATTTCCTTAGTAGTGCAGAAGATTTTCAATGTAATCAAGTCCCATTTATTTATTTTCCTTGTTGCTGTAATTGCCATTGGGGTCTTAGCCATAAATTCTTTGCCTAGGCCAATATCTGGAAGAGTTTTTCCTACATTTTCTTCTAGAATTCTTATGGTTCCATGCCTAACATTTAAGTCTGTAATCCATCTTGAATTAACTTGTGAGTAGTGAGAGGTATGGATTCTGTTTCATTCTTCTGCATGTGGCTTTCCAGTTTTCCCAGCACCATTTATTTGATAGGGCTTCTTTTCCCCGGTATATAGTATTGTCTGCTTTGTCATAGATCAGTAGGCTATATGTGGATGGTTTTATATCTGGATTCTCTGTTCTGTTCCATTGGTCTTGCCTCTATTTTTGTGCCAGTACCATGCTGTTCTGGTTACTATAGCCTTGTAGTATAGATTGAAGTCTGGTTATATGATGCCTCCAGATTTGTTCTTTTTGCTTAAGACTACTTTGGCTATTTGGGCTCTTTTCTACTTCCAAATGAAGTGTAGAATTTTTCTTTCTTTCTTTTTTCTTTTAGATCTCTGAAGAATGACGTTGGTATTTTGATGCAGATTGAATTGAATCTGTGAATCACTTTGAGTAGTATGGATGTTTCAACAATGTTGATTCTACTATTCCATGAGCATGATATGTTTTTCCATTTGTTTGTGTGTTGAGGATTTCTTTCCTCAGTGTTTCATAGTTTTCTTTGTATAGATCTTTCACCTCATTGGTTAAGTATATTCCTAGGTACTTTATTTTCTTTGTAGATATTGTGAATATTATTGAGTCTTTGATTTGACTTTCACCGTGACTTTTATTGGTGTACAGGAATGCTACTGATTTGTGTATAATAATTTTGTAACCTGAGACTTTGCTGAATTTATTTGTCAATTCCAGGAGTCTCTTGGTGGAGTCTTTGGGGTTTTTTAGATGTAAGATCATATCATCAGTGAAAAGTCATAGTTTGACTTCCTCTTTCCCAATTTGGATACACTTAATTTCTTTCTCTTGCCTGATTGCTCTGGCTAGGCCTTCCAGCACTATGTTAACAGAAGTGATGACAGTGGACAAGCTTGTCTTGTTCTAGTTCTTAGGGAAAATGCTTTCAACTTTTCCCCATTCAGTATGTGGCTGTGGGTTTGTCATATATGGCTTTTATAATTTTGAAATATTTTCCTTCTATGCCTAGTTTGTTGAGGGTTTTTATCATGAAAGGGTGCTGGATTTTGTTAAATGCTTTTTCTGCATCTATTGAAATGATCATGTGGTGTTTGTTTTTGATTCTGTTTATGCAGTGAATCACATTTATTGATTTTCGTGTGTTGAACCATCCTTGCATCCCTGGGATGAAGCATACTTAGTCATGGTGGATTATATTTTTGATGTATTTTTGAATTCGGTTTGCTAGTATTTTATTAAGGATTTTTACATCTATATTCATAATGAATATTGGTATGTAGTTTTCTTTTTTTGTTGTGTCTTTTCCTGGCTTTAGCATCAAGGTGATACTGGTTTCATAGAATGTGTTGGGGAGGATTCCCTCTTTGTCTATGTTATGGAATGATTTCCACAGTATGGGTACCAGCTCTTCTTTGTAGGTCTGGTAAAATTTGGCTGTGAATCCATCTCATCTTGGGCTTCTTTTGTTGGAACACTTTTTATTACTGCTTCAATCTCGCTGGTCATTATTGATCTGTTTAGGAGTTCTGTTTCTTCCTGATTGAGTCATGGGAAGTTGTGTTTTTCTAGGAATTTGTCCATTTACTTTATGTTTTCTAGTTTGTGTGAATAGAGATTTTGTTAGTATTCATTGATGATATTTTGTATTTCTGTGGTATTAGTTGTAATATCTCCTTTTCCATTTCCGATTGAGCTTATTTGTGTCTTTTCTCTTCTTGGTTAATCTAGCAAGAGGCTTATCAATTTTGTTTATCTTTTCAAAGAACCAACTTTTTGTTTCATTGATCCTTTGTATTGTTTTTTTGTTTTTCATTTCATTTAGTTCTGCTCTGACGTTAGTTATTCTTTTCTCTGCTGGCTTTGCATTTGGTTTGCAATTTGTTTTCTAGGTCCATAAGATATATCATTAGATTGTTAGTTTGTGCTCTTTCTGTCTTTTTAATGTAAGCATTTAAGGCTAAGAATTTTCCCCTTAGGACTGCTGTTGCTGAATCCCATAGATTTTGATAGCTTGTGTCTCCTTTGTCTTTCAGTTTAAAGAATCTTTTGATTTCCATCTTAATTTAATTATTGACCTAATAAATGTCCAGCAGCAGGGTGTTTAAT